AAGAAGCCCCAAGGAACGAGAAAAGATGTGATTCCTGTGGAGCAAGTGATAAGCCTTTGAAAAACTGTGCAAAGTGCCATGTCGCTCGATACTGTTCCGTCGAGTGCCAAAGTACGTTGTACGTTCCCCTGTACTTTTCATTACCAACTTTATCTTTCAGGGAAAGAGTGGAGTACGCACAGGGAAATGTGTCAACCATTCTCTGCTGGTAATACTGTCACTGTCAAGCCTTTTTACGTTCAGGGAGAGAACACCATGCCTACTGAGGTCCTTCGGAATCGTTTCTTTGGCGTCAATGATACCACACCTCAGACTCATTATCGCTCTGGACATGTCCCCAAGCACCTCAACGAAGCGAAAAATATGGTTGTCAAGGTGCAGCTGCCATATAATCTCATGAGGAGTAAACCGGAAATCGGCGCAGGACCACTCTTTGTGTATACCAAGAAACGCGACTTCGTATGTCGGATCAGAAGAGAAGATGGTGCCGCTTCCTACAATCGTATATCCAACGTCGTTGCCGAGAAGGGTGTGGGCGGCGGGAAGGCGTATTTCGCGGCGGAGCTGAAGACAAAGGACGAATTAGTCATCAAAGTTTCCGAGGTTTTGGCCGAGCAGCCTTTTTAAGATCGACCACTTGTGTAGTGTTTTCATTGAAATTTTGCCATGCTTTTCTACTTCTAATTGGCCTCATGTTGCTTGAGCGTACTATAGATCTCCCAAAAAGTGTACGCGACTCTTGATGAGTACCGCTTTACATGAATATTCTCTCGCACAATACGTAGACTTGTACATCGAACTCGACATCGGGCAAGGTGCAACGGGTGTCGGAGATGTTCTGAAAAATTATTATTATTTCATTTTGCAACGAAAAAGAAACGTAATATATCTTCCCTCGCACTTCGTTAATCGTCGACTCAAGTTGTAAAAAATGCATTTCCAGGATTTAGACACTCGAGCATTTTTTTCTAACTTGTGTTCAGGGGTAACTGATGGCGGTCTTACTGTCACACAGGATATGAGGGATGTTCTGAATCAGCCGGGCTTTATTACCTTAGCCAAAGGGAGCCAAAAACTACGGAGATTGTACAGTTTTCGTACGCGAGCTTCGCCAAACGCTCATGAACTCATATCAACTGATTTTCTCTGCAGAGAGCATGTCATTTGATGCGACACGACTCTCACCGCTTGGATTTGCATGCTTTTTTGGTAGACTGGATCTTATTAACGAGGTATGCCTAGCCTATGGTGTTTCCAGAACCAGACAATCAGAGCTATTTTAGTGTATCTCCAAGGGCCGTCTTACAGATCTGAACTGTACCGAAACACCATACAAGTATGGATATGCCACTCTCGTTATTTCTGGCTCTCTTCGCGTTGAGCCCCTCCCAGGCGTTGATCATCTCGCCGCTCTGAGATTTCTTATTACCCGAGGTCTTAATGTCGATATACCCGACATCGCCGGTTGGACCGCTCTTCAACATGTGGTTATCGGCCAGTCGCTCCGAGTCGATCTTCTTCATGAGCTCCTGAAGTCCGGTGCCAATGTTAACCATCAGAATCGCTACGGAGAGGTTGCACTGTTTGGAGCCTACCAGAAGAATTATACCAATGCTATCGACCTTCTACTCGAGTATGGGGCCGACTTGGACATTCCGGAGGCGGATGGCTTTACCCCGCGCCAAACTTTTCTGAAATTTGGACCGAAAGTTACTGCTGTCGTTCAGAAATGGATACGTAAAAGGAACGGTCAGGAGGCGCCAAGGAACGGGAAACGATGCGATTCCTGTGGAGCGACCGATATACCCTTGAAGAACTGTGCCAAATGCCGTGTCGCCCGGTACTGTTCTGTTGAGTGCCAAAGTAGGCTGAACATACTCTTATGCGACTTGATAACGACGTTTTGATTAGAAAAAGATTGGAGATTTCACAAGAAGTCGTGCCAGCCGTTCTCTGCGGATAATACCGTTGTCGTCAAGCCATACTATGCACAGGAAGGGAGCATGATGCCTGTCGAGGTCCATCGGAATCGATTCTTCGGTGTTGAAGACACAACGCCCACAGCTCATTTCCGTAATGCACACATTCCAAAGAACCTCACCACCGCGAAGAATATGGTCATAAAGGTACAGCTGCCATATGACCATAAGGCGAAGATTGCAATTCCGGGCGCAAATCCGCTGTTCGTGTATAACAAGAATCGCGATTTTGTGTGCCAAATTCTGTGGGAGGATGGACCTGCTGCCTATGATTGTATAAGAAACGCCGTTGCGACGAAGGGCGTGGGGGGCGCAAAGGCGTATTTTGCAGCGGAGCTAAAGACAAAGGATGAATTGATTATCAAAGTTTCGGAAGTGCTTGCTGAGCAGCCCTTTTAACATCAGTATCATGCTGAGTTATTTTCGATCGCAGAATATGCTTGCTGCTTCAGTTTGTCCATGGTCATCAATTACCTCCGCGATTAAATTTACTCTTCGTGAGGCTATGGATTTCAAATGACCTTCTGTGGATCTCTATACACTCTAGAGAGAGCTTGTATCTGCACGCGTTATATGATCTGTTCCCCTGGTGCGCTCGATGAATTCTGATAGCATGATTGCCTAGAGAATTCAGGAGCAACTGAGCAATCCTGTAAATCTGACGTGGTCCAAGCGTGAAAACGTTGGCAGGGGTCTGACTGAAGTCTGTGGTTGCTTTGAAAAGTCTCTGAGAACCCCAAGTCATGGGATCCCGGTCTCCATAATCAAAGTTTTGGATCCTCACGGAGAGAGTATCACAGTTCAAACTGCGTCTGAATCAGAAAAGTCGCACGAAATTATGAGCAGCGGGCTTTTCTGTCCTGTGTCTTACTTCTGATTCGCACTCACAAGCCGGATTTACATATGTATGTACCCCGCTGTCCAAATATTACCCTCCCTAATGCATCCCAATTTAAAAGACGCTTTATGCATGTCGAATTTTGAGTCTACTATGAGCAAGGTCGCATTCCCAGTGTTATTCATCCGCTTTTTTGCAGAAGGTTTCTCAGCCCTGCCATCTCTGTCCTCTTTAGAGAACAGCCCTTCCTTTCCTGTCCATGATATGCCACAATTCATGTAGGTATTTTCTAGATCATCTTCGTCCTCGTCCCTCACCTAAGGTTGCTCAATTTTCAGGGTTTATATTGCGTTTCCTGAATACACTAAAGCCACATATAAGTGATCCATGACAACATCACTTCCTGTTCTGTCCTATAATCGAAGTGAATTTTACGTTTGTCACTCAAGTCTCCGAGCTCTTTGAGCTTGAAAGCTCAATTAAGTCCACAGCCAATCCAGGAAAACATTCAAAGTGGTTTTTGTTTTGTTTCCTCTTCAAAATGTGTATCACTTCATGTTAAAGGTACCAGGCTACACGGACACCTTAGATACTAATACGTACAAACACACTCGTGCATACTTGTAACAGTTTCTTAGTTACTTTTTCTTTACCCTCAATACGCTTATTGTTGTGTCCCCGCACTGGCCGAGTCAAGCCAGCATCGGCCCCTTGTGGCCACCTTTTCCGTTCTCGTCAACTGCGCCCCTTTGATGGCGGCTGCACTTACGACCTTATTCTCTCGGTTACTGCGTTATTTGCTCACCATACTTGACCTTGGCGACGACCCAAGCAACACTTCACACTTCAGGTCGTCGGATTTGATAGGATGGTATCCGTAGCGGAAACTGTGTACCCTTCAGTTTGCTTGCTCTGACGTGAAGTATGAACGCTTTGGTGTGCAATACTACAACTAGAATTATATCATCGATTCTGCTCCTCGCGAATTTCGTTCCAGGTCCCGAGATGGAAGATCTTCGGTAGGTCATTCCACACCTTCTCTCGTCCTCTCGCGTGCTGATCCTGCGCACGCTGTAAGCAAGACGCACAAACCCCCAACGAATCCCAGTTATCATACTCATGCAACGGATGAGGTCTCTTCCTCAGTTCCTCCATATGCTTCCACGTCATCTGCTGCAATCGCAAGCTACACCCATGGCGGCAGTCCGGCGCATTCACGAAATCAAATAGGAATTTGTGCGTATCATTCTTCTGGCGTTCCCATAGCTGCGATTTCCCCGCTAGACAGAGCGCTTTGTCTCGCCAAGAGAGGACCGGATCCGCAAGGAGCGTGTCGGTTTCAATGTTGGTAGAGATGTAGAATGCCCATGGAAGAATCTCAGGGACGTTGGTCTCACGTGCAAGAGGGATAGCGCTGACAACGGTTGTTGCGTTGTATTGGTATCCCGAGGACACTAGGTCGTCGCATCCGTAGAGCGTAGTGGGAAATTTGTCGCGTAGAATGTCTATGCACTTTTGGCGTAATCTGGCAAGATTGTACTTTGTACTGATCTTGAGGATCCCAGAGATGAACCCAAGCAGCTTGCGCAAGTCGGCATCTTGAGGTAGTGCGTCAAAGTAACTGTGACGCAAGTAATGTGTGAGGTGTCTATGGACGATGCAAGACTTATAGGGTCAACCACCTACAACGGTTGATAAATCGCTTTTATGACTTCCGTGAAATCTTTCAAATCATCCTGCAAATGGACCACAGAACAGCCATCCATGAAGTCTAACTCCTTATGAGGCGGCTCGGGAATGGTGAAAAGATCTGCAAAGACGTCCGAATGCTGGCTCAGAATTGACTTGTGTACACGGAAAGCTGTATTCTCTACAACGAGAACAACGGACCCGTCATCGTACCAGTATTCGCTGCGAGAAGGTTCAGTATTTTCAGTACTCATGGCTAACGAGGAAGAAATCACACTGGGAACGTGGGTCTAAATCCATTTATCAACCGGGAAAACGCGGGCCATCAGCTAATCGATCTCATCAGGTTATTACAACTTGCTTGTTGTGATACAAGTATGGATGAATGCCAGACCAGCCTCTACGCATGAGATCAATGGAACATACTCAAGTCGTCAACGAAGTTGGCGATTGTTCCTCTGACTATACAGGAAAAAAGCTTCTATGGGGAAAACTTCGGGTACGGGGAATCGAACCCCGAGCTGCCGCGGAAGACTGTGAATAGTGAAAGGCGGCAATGTTAGCCGTTACACCATACCCGATTGCAGGAGATCTTGTATAACTCCCCACACAAGATTTTGGTCGACTACATTAGAGGTAGAGGTCAGGGTCAGGAAGTCTACCGAAACGTGCGACCGTACCAAACCCCATCGCTTACGCACTCCGTTTGGCACCTTTTCCCCCATGCACAGCTGATTCCACGTCCTCTTTCGCGAGTGATATCCTGCTACTCCCCAAATGTTCCTTTTTTACTGCAGGATTTGACGACAATCGCTTCATCTGAATTCGCTTCCACAATCACAAGGCTGATATCGATAGACTACCTCGGTGCGTCATGGTAGTAAGCTGTCGTTTCTGGAACGTGGAGTGCTTGCGAAAATCGTCTTTTCCGATATCTGAGCTTACGAGGTGTAGCCTGTGCTTGCTCCGGACGATGAATGGTAGACCGCTTCTTCATCTTGACCAAGACAAGTCTTTGTAAGTGATTGAGAAGTTTTCTAGGCATGTAGATGTCAGTTTTGTTCTGGAAAGGTGATGCCTGCAACTCACAAGATCCATCTAATTACCGACTCGACGACCCTGGTCTTCACCGCAGATGCTTGTTTCACGCCTGGCCCAAAACGGACTAGAAAAAATTTCCATTCCATTCTGTTGTTCTCATAAATTTGCGATGGTGCGACGCAGATGTCGACTTGGCACCGAGAAAGAATCGCAGAGGTCATCATTCAGATAATCTATCCATACTTGCAGTGTTCCTTGAAGTTGATTTCGACCATCTAATAGCAGTGAAGCTCGTGAAAATTGACGTTGGTGGGATGTCATACCTTTTTAGGTCATAGAAGGTGAATGACTTGGGTGTGTATGACTCAGTCAGCGGGACGTTGTCTGCAATCGCAAAGAGCTTTTCAAAGGTAAATCGGAATGATATGGGAAGAAAGTTACCGTGAGTCTTCGAGCCTCCGTGGTGAGGCATAGATTCGATGAGGAAAAGCTGCAGGTGACGTTGTCAGAGGAAGGGTGCGACTGAACTAGTATTCTTCGCTCACCAGCCCGGCCCGGAAGACAAGGCCTCCTTTCCACGACCGAGCTCGAGCTTTGCAGAGTGCTTATTTCCGGTAAGTATATCTCAAACATGTGAGATGATGCTTTAGGTTACGTCAAAGTCAAAGCCAGCCCGAAGCTTAAGGCTAAGGCAGTTGTTTGTTGTCTTCACCTTGATCAATAAAACCCGTTTAGGACATTGTATGATTTCCTTCACCAGTAACAAATCCAAGTCCTACTGAACTGGAATTTAGATGTGTACGTAGCATCGGACTAGAAACTCGTACAGGTATAAGTGTCATCGCCTTCTGACAAAATTAGGTCCATGCAATCAGACGTCAATCGTGTTCACAGGGTTCGTGCGAAGTACCCAGAGTAGACGAGGTATGGTGGAAAATACTAGCGCCTCTCCTTTTACACTCTGTCTTCTCAGGGGAAGATGATCTTTCGTTGCGCTTTAGGTTCAATTATCTCCCTTTACCTGGGAAAATTGATCTATTCTCCGCATATCTCGCACAGCATGTCAATACCAACTTCTGAGAAATATGGCTTGTGATTGTGGGTTGCATTATGATGAATAAGGTCTATCGTCGTCGACCTGGTTCTTCGACTTCTTGATCATTGTCACGGCACACCATCGGCACCTCACGACCTTGCGTTGTCCACATAAGCAAGGAAACCGAAGCTTCAATCTTGGTAAGATGCGGTCATGTCATTAATCTGACAAGACATATAAGGCACTCAGCCCGATCGATAGTATCTCTACCTTCATCCTCTAAGACACACGGAATATGGCAGAAACAAGAGCAGAGAAACCCAAGTCTAAGATTTCTTACGGTATGTCTAAGCCTTGTTCTTCATGTGTGACAAGTATCCGATTGACCATCTAGTCCGTCTCGGAAACTCTGGCCTGAAAGTGTCCAGGATCATCCTTGGGACCATGCAGTACGGCGACCCGCAATGGCAGCCCTGGGTTCTGGGAGAGGAAGAGGCAGTCAAGCATATCAAATTCGCGTAAGGTGTTTCATGTCGTCCTCGCCTGATTAGAGCTAATGAAATTTTCACTACTTGAAGGTACGAAGCGGGCATCCAGACATTTGACACTGCGAACGTATACTCAAATGGTCTTTCGGAGATTATCCTTGGGAAAGCCATCAAACAGCTGCAACTCCCCCGCGAAGAGATCGTCATTCTCACGAAGGTTTGTTTTTATATGGACTGTCCTAGAAAAGGTAGTGTTTATCTACCGAATATATCTTAGGTGCACGGCACGGTCGCACGCGAATATAAAACAAACTTCATCGCCTCTGGTAAAAAACCCGACGAGATTGGGTATGTTAACCAGCATGGGTTAAGTCGAAAGGTTCGGACCTTTCTGTTTCGATGTTCTACATTTTTCTGATACAGCGGGGTAAAGCACATTTTTGACTCGGTACAAGCAAGTCTCAAACGCCTCGGAGTTGAATATGTGGACATGTTACAATGTATGTTCATTTTATGTTCATTTCACCCCATCGATTGACTCCTTCATGCCAAGGCCATCGATTCGATTATGAAACGCCTATCGAAGAGACTGTGCGTTGCCCATCCTAGTCTTGTTGTACGGTACTAATCTGGATTCAAAACAGATGCAAGCTCTCCACGACGTCGTCAAAGCTGGGTATGTGCGCTATATCGGCATGAGCTCATGCCATGCTTATCAGTGTATGTTTTCCTTGCTCCTTCTCCTTCCACTTGCGCTCATACTCATTAACACAATTTCGTACAGTCCATCAAATGCAAAGTACGAATCTTACTTTATTCAGGTAGACTGACAAACTGACTGACCAATTGATTTGTATAATAGATTATGCTATCACACACAACCTCACGCCTTTCATATCAATGCAGAATCACCATAGTCTGTTGTATCGTGAAGAAGAAAGGGAAATGTACCCTAGTCTCAAGGTAACGTACTTTTATCTCTTTCTTGCCAATTTTCTCCTTTGCCTTCACTTTCAATCTAACTGCCTGTCTTCACTGTCTGACTCCTAAACTTGCAAAGCTATTTGGCGCCGGTGCCATCCCTTGGTCCCCACTTGCACGCGGACTGCTCACGCGTCCGTTGGAAGAGCAGACCAAGCGTGGGGAGACAGATTGGTATGTCGCTTCCTCATACATCCCATTTTTTTAACTCGACTTCTCTGAAAGGTTCATAAAAAGATATCTCAAAGCAGCGGGGACACCTGAAATTTTGAAGCGGTTCATACTTCTTGTTTCCTTCTTGGAATAACCTCAAACTAATACTCTTACCCCGCAGCGTGGAAGAACTTGCGGCGAAGAAAGGTCTTACAATGGCCCAGATCGCCTTGCTGTGGTCTCTCTCAAAAGATGGTGTCACTGCGCCAATTGTAGGTACGACAAAGCTCAAGAATTTGGAGGAACTTATTTGTAAGTGTCTCCACACTCGTTTGACGTGGAACGGAATCTCATTGGATGTCAAATTAGCGGTGGTGGATATGAAGTTGACAGAGGAAGAAATGAAGTATTTGGAGGAACCGTATGTTCCGCAGGCTGTTATTGGACATTTGTAAATCGTATAGTCGAAGAGTGGATAGCATACAATCAGATGATCAGCGGATGCAGAGGAACAGTACTGTTTATTAAACTAGCGAAAGTGAAAGACGAATAAGACGTGCCTTGTTACAATTGAGTGTAATGTAAGTCGTCCATATCTGTTTCATCTAGGTGAAGCTGAGGCGCACTTTGCAATTAAAATGCAAAGTTGCGTCAAACCAAAGTGCCCTCTGATAAGTCTCCTTCTCTCTGGTGCGTTTGGACAAGACTATCTTACCGCGGCGTTTGGTAATTCCAAGAAATATCTTCAGATGTATCAAATCGACCCGGCGTCTTCCGACGGAGTCACATCCTCGCTGTGCCGTGCTTCGAGCGCCGCTGATGTTTAAAAATTCCCTCTAACTGTTTTGTGCTTCAAATAAATCACATGAGTATGTTTCTCCATACACGAACCCGTTGACATTTGTGGAGATCATAGCTAGACTGCTGGTGCCGGACTTATCGGCTCTTTTCCCACGAGCACCCCAGAATTTATCTTCAGTCTATCCTTTAAGACTGGTTGGATGATCCACCTTCGTTATCACTTCCAACACAACTTGTCTGCCAGGACTTTGCTTGGTAGGCCCCCCGGATATCACTTGCCATGTCCAGTCTTTCGCCTGCATGTCTATTGGTATGGGCTATCCTGACAACGTCGGTAAGTTATATCTATAGTGAGCCATCCTTGTTGATTCACGTAGAGCTGAGCAGGTGGAGACGTTCCTCATTTTTCATCTGTGGTCATTTGATCGATTCAAGTGCCTCAGGTAAGCAGGGCTGGCGGCGTCGCCAGTATCTGTTGCAACTATTCTCCATATAGATGGAATACAACCTCCGGGTCGTTTAAACGCGTCATGACGGTGCGCTCAATAATGACTTTGTGACCCAGCACGATACCGATTGCAATTCTAGTACTCGTATCTATTGACAGTACCGTTGATGGGAGCGTTCGCTATTGGCTTTGCCTCAATCAAATACTCTGAGGGCTTTGTCTCACTTCCTTCTGGCAGAAGTAAGGCAATAGCTCTGTGATGTCACATCTCATACATTACATCTAGTCATTCCAAAGCCGATTGAGTTATGGAGTCCCCTCGCTCAGAGGTCCAACCTCCCTCTGACGTTGTGTCTCTCCATCGCATGGGGATTGGAAATGTAAGTATAAGCTTTTTGTATACAAGCGTCAATCTGGCATTTATGCCTGATACCCCTAGGGTCAGTCATCTGGAAGGTATGGATTTGATGATCTTGATTCCCTCTTCAGGTGACCACCATACATACGTTCATCTGATTGTCCATTTTTAGAACTGTGCTTCTGGCAGTTCCTCATCAGCGCAAGCACTACTGCTCAGCAAGATTGGTTCCACAGTCTCCATTTCAAGTTGTGGGTTGTTGGTTCGATCATTGC